GTTCCTCATCCGACGAGCTGCCTATCTCCACATGATTTTCCTCTCCTTCCTCTCCCAAGCTCCCCATTTTGTCGTCACTATTTTCTGTTTCCAGGGCGTCCTCATTCGTGGTCGTGTTCTTATCATTCCCCTCGTCTTCAACAAGCACCTTGTCCGCAAGGTGCAAACGTGGAAATTGCTTGCGTATAAACTCGAGGGGCTCCCATGTGGCATCATCGGCCCCACCCTCGGACCATTCTACAAGAACCTGGTCAGTCAACACATTGCCCACCAAAGCCGTGCGCCGACCAAGCAACCGGACAGGGACGGAGGGAACTTGGCCGTCCTTCAACTCCTTCGGCAGTGGTTGACACGGTTGGGCAGTAGGATCCCCACGAAAAGGGCGCAGCAGCGACACATGAAACACTGGGTGCACTTTCGAATCAGCCGGCAACTTCAAGCGATAAGCAACCTGTCCGACACGATCCTGAATCTGGAAAGGACCATAAAAACGACGCGATAATTTCTGATTGGAACGCCGTGCCACGGACTGTTGGCGGTACGGCTGAAGTTTCAGCAACACCCACTCGCCCGGCCCAAATTCCAGTTCTCGTCGGCGTTGATTGGCGATGGTGCGCATGCGGCCTTGTGCCTTGGCCAAATGCTCGCGTAGTCGGTGGAGTAGGGCTGTCCGCTCCTGCAACAGTGCAACCACCTCCGGCAGGGGGCACTCGCCGCCTCGGTATGGCAACAGGGTTGGGGGTTCCCGCCCATATAATGCTTGAAATGGAGTCATTTTCAGGGCTGAGTGATAGCTTGTATTAAGAGCATACTCGGCCCAGGGCAGCAACACTGTCCAGCGACTGGGCTTATCCATGGAAAAGGCACGCAAATATTGCTCGATCCCCCGGTTCATAACCTCCGTCTGCCCGTCAGTTTTGGGGTGGAACGCCGTACTTAAATGCAAAGTCGTGCCACTTAATTTAAGAACCTGTTTCCAAAATTTGCTCAAAAAAATCCTATCTCTGTCAGACACCAACGTCTTGGGAAATCCATGCAACTTCACCACAATATCCACAAAGAGGTGGGCGACCCGATGAGCATCGAAGTCCGCCGGTAATGGCCCCAAATGAATATATTTTGATAGACGGTCCACGACCACCAAAAGAACCGTGAAGCCACGAGACGGTGGTAAGCCGGTAATAAAGTCCAAAGAGGCATCATCCCAAACCTGTAAGGGAACCGGTAAGGGTTGGAGGAGCCCCGCTGGCGGCTGGGTAGAGTACTTCGTTGCCTGGCACGTGAGGCACCCGCGCACATGGCGATGGACATCAGCCGGCATATTCTTCCAATAAAAAGCCATAGCTAAACGGTGCATAGTCCGTGTCACCCCGGGATGGCCAGCGAGGGGCGTATCATGATACTCGCGGATGAGCAGCCCCCGTAACTCGGACTTTTCCCCAATGCAAAGCCGCCGTTTGTAGTACAGTAGGCCGTCCTCCACCGAAAAATGGGGTGGTAGTTTCCCTTTGCTGGCAGCCTCGTGCAAGAGCCGAAGGTCCACTTGAGTCGAATTTTCACGGCGTATGTCGGCCATCAGGTTGGTACCACCCGGGACAGATTCATCAAGCTGGAGGCGTCGATGGCGTCTGCGTCCCGGCGAGACAGAGCATCTGCCACCCTATTTGACGCCCCTGTCTTGTATTCAATCTTGAAACGAAAACCCATCAATTTTCGGACATAGAATTGCTGGTCCGGCGTTTGAATTACTTGGTGCAAGAGGTCCTTGAGACTTCGTTGATCGGTGCGTATCAGAAATTCCCGGCCGAGTAAATATTGTCTCCACTTCTGGACAGCCTCCACAATAGCAAATAGCTCTTTATGATATGTTGAGGCCGAGGGTTTCCGCGGACCAAGTTTCTTGCTAAAGTATGCGACGGGTTGCTCGTTCTGGAGTAGAACTGCCCCAATACCAGATGCACATGCGTCCGTTTCCACCACAAATAATAGCCGAAAGTCCGGTAACCGTAGGACTAGGGCGGAAACCATAGCCTGTTTAAGTGCTTCAAAAGCGGTTGCGGCTGTTGGGGTCCACCCAAAGGCGTCTTTACGCAGTAAATCAGTCAAGGGGGCGGCCAGGTGGGAGTATTGACGAACAAACCGGCGGTAGTATCCAGTCAGCCCTAAAAAACCCCGGAGTTTCTTTGCGGTAGTCGGTGACGGCCACTGAACCATAGCATCAATTTTGGAACTGTCCACCCGGAGCTCCCCATTGGCAATGATATGCCCTAAGTACTGGATGGATGTCGTACCGAAAGCACACTTAGACCGCTTCACATAAAAGTGGTTATCACGCAACAACCGAAGAACCGTTGCTGAATGGAGCTGATGGCGTTCCAAGGATGGACTATAAATGAGGATATCGTCAAAGAACACAATAACCATCTTCCGTAGGTAAGCCGAAAACAAGTGATTCATGCATGCCTGAAAGGTGGAGGGTGCATTGGTAAGCCCAAACGGCATCACAAGGAATTCGTAATGCCCTTCATGCGTGCGGAATGCCGTTTTATAAATGTCCCGCTCGGCCATACGAATTTGGTGGTACCCGGATCTCAAATCAAGCTTGGTAAAGAATCTGGCGCCTCCCAATTCATCAAATAGTTCATCTGCAGTGGGGATTGGGAAGTGGTCCGGAACAGTTACCGCGTTTAGGGCACGGTAATCCACACAAAAATGGAAAGACCCGTCCTTCTTTTTGACGAGCAATACGGGCGATGAAAATGGACTGCGACTCGGACGAATCAACCCCTGCGTCGCCATCTCCTGGACCAAGCGTTCGATTTCATTTTTTTGGAAGTGAGGGTACCGATATGGGCGGACATTCACTGGTGACGTTCCGGGTTGTAAAAAGATGTGGTGGTCGGCCGAACGGTGCGGCGGTAAACTGGTTGGCACCTCAAAAACAGTAGCAAAGTCATCCAGTACCTCACAGATTTGGGGTGGAATGGACTGCCTGTCCTCGGCTGGTTCGGGTATCGTGGCAGCTTCGGCTTCTAGGGACAAGATCTCATAACATTCCAAGAGGGAGTGTGAACGTTGCAATCCATGAAACATAGAGAGAGAAACCTGTTTATTCGGGGGCGCACTGCCATTCAAACGAACCAGCTTACCCTCCCACACAAATTCCATGGTTAAGTTGGCATAGTCGTGGCTAACTTTCCCGAGGTGTTGCAACCATTGAACCCCTAGCACAATATCTTGACCATGAATCGCAAGGACATATAAGTCAACCATAAATTGGGTACCGTGGAGGGTAAGGGATGCGGCTGGACACTGCGCGTTGCATGGCATGGAATCCCCATTACCCACGTACACCCGAAAGGGTGACACCGCTTTGATAGGTAACTGTAAACGGGATGCCACTTCGGGATGCACAAAATTATGAGAGCTACCTCCGTCGATCAAGACACGAACCTCGTTGGACCCCAGCGTACCCAGAAGACGAAGAGCCCGCGGTAAAGTGATACCCATAAAATTGTTCAAGCTCGAGATATCCGCTTCAACCACCAATTCATCATGTATGGCGTCAGAATCTTCCTCATCATCGTCCCCACACAATAGTAAGAATCGACCGCACTTATGGGTACGCGACCACTTTTGATCACAGTTATAACACAACCCTTTAGCATCTTTCTCCAAACGTTCGGCTCTAGTGAGGCGGCGGACAGGCGCTGTGGCAGGAGCTACCCCCGGAGCCTTGTTTGGGGTTGGCAAGATGCCGGCAGTAGTAGGAGGCCCTGGATGCATTCCCTTGGCTGTGGAAGCGGAAAACCCAGAAGTCGGGCGCTGTGTCACGGCGGACACAAGGGCGGCGTGTTTGGCCTCTAACTCGCGTGCCAAAGCAAAGGAGTCCGAAAGAGTGCGTGGTTTAAGCAAAACAATCTCCTGCTGAAGATGAGATTTAAGCCCGGCATGGAATAAGGAAAGCAAAACCTCCTCACTGGCACCGGTGATATGTTGAAGAAGCTTCTCGTACTCGGTTTGGTATTCCATAACCGACCCCCGCTGCCGTAGTTTGGCCAATTGACCAAAGTAATCCACATAATGTAAAGGGTCGAAGCGCTGCCGGAATTTAGTAACAAAATCGTCCCAACCTTCAAGTAAACCATTCGTGGAGCGCCATTGAAACCAATCGGCGGCCGCTCCTTCCAACATAAGGGCCACGCAACGGAGCCGTTCGTCTGGGGGTGTGGCATAAAAGGAAAAATACTCCTTAACTTTGTAAAGCCATCGGAGAGGATCTGATCCATCACACTTGGGCGACTCTAACTTCGGGCGAGGCCCATAACCACCAGATTTCGGGCCTGGATCGTCGTCCCGAGACCCACTCGGCTTGTCGGCGTGACTGCTGCTACTGGCCAGAATCAATGCCTCCAAACGAGCAAAACGTTGCTCCAGATCCTGTTGTATTTGATTGACGGATTTCTTGAGTGCGACCACCTCATCATCGCGTCCGACTTCTTGAGACATGACGAGGACAGCGAGAGCACCAATTGATACGAACACGTATCGGGGAAGAGAGCTTCGAGTGTCTCCGAACTCCAAGAAGAGAAGGACAAGGGTTAAAGAGAGAGAGAGAACTCGTGCGGCAGAACCACACGTCACAGGGAAGGGAGAATTAGGGTTTAGGTATTTTCTTTCCTATTAATTATGGGGAGTAATATCTCTATTTATAGTAGAGACCTCCAACCTAAAACTACGTTTTCTAACCTGACGGTTCAAGAAAAGCGACGAGGTAAAGAACCGTAAAGAAACCCCGAAGGAGCTTATAATTCGCTCACCTAGGAAAATACTAAAATACAATAATTAAAATATTTAATTAACACAACGGCTAAACATAATCCTCCCGCCAACGTGGGTTACGTCGCGGCCTTGTGCTCCGTCGTGCATGGACTTCCTGCTTCTCCAGGCCCCCACNCCTCTCCTTCCTCTCCCAAGCTCCCCATTTTGTCGTCACTATTTTCTGTTTCCAGGGCGTCCTCATTCGTGGTCGTGTTCTTATCATTCCCCTCGTCTTCAACAAGCACCTTGTCCGCAAGGTGCAAACGTGGAAATTGCTTGCGTATAAACTCGAGGGGCTCCCATGTGGCATCATCGGCCCCACCCTCGGACCATTCTACAAGAACCTGGTCAGTCAACACATTGCCCACCAAAGCCGTGCGCCGACCAAGCAACCGGACAGGGACGGAGGGAACTTGGCCGTCCTTCAACTCCTTCGGCAGTGGTTGACACGGTTGGGCAGTAGGATCCCCACGAAAAGGGCGCAGCAGCGACACATGAAACACTGGGTGCACTTTCGAATCAGCCGGCAACTTCAAGCGATAAGCAACCTGTCCGACAAGGTACTCTACTCCGTAGCCCGCCGCTTTATTTCATGTTCAGTTGGGGACCATGATGTGTCTAGTAGGAAATTTTAATTAGAAGAGTCTTCTTAACGGAAAGGGTTAAACTTACTTAATTTGTTATAATTATCCAAAGTCCAAAGTAATTAAAGTTAGACGATAACTTCAAAATAAAATTAAAAAAAATATCTGCTTGGGTGTTTTTGTGCGGACACCCACGCGCCCGGCACCCCTTTCTCTGGTTTCTCTTGGGTATATAACAGCGTCGCCATTACCGAAACCTTCAATTTCATCTTTCGATTTTCTTCTCTGCTCCGCCACTTGTTGATTCTCTCGCCTTTTCTTCCGCCAAGTTCAGATTTCATTGCAAGCTCGAAAACCCTTCTCCAGCGACCAAACACAGCTTTAATTTCGGTTCGTTTATCTTCTTCCACTTTATAATATGCTCCGTAACTTAACCAGGGTTCTTGATTTCTGCTCTTCTATGGCGTTTTTTTGATCGTTTTGGAAGGTTGATTCTTCTGGGTAGTTTTTTTTATTCATTTTCTTTCAACCCTTTTGTGGGGATGATCGAATTTGAGTGTTCATGTTTCCAATCATAGTATAAACTGGTATATGATAAGTATGTTGTAAGTAATAACCCTTTCATATAATCCTGCAGATCTATGGTTCTGTTCTGAGCCACATGTACTGATCTTTGGATTTCAATGTTTTCTTTTGACAGTTTATCTTTTTAAGCATGTATGTGTGATTAATTATTGATTACTTTCTAATGATGCTGATGTGTCTCTTGGTTATGCAGCTGAATACAACAAAAAACGTTGAACAAAAACATGATCTTTAACAGTATGGGAAGGGGTGGATTTTCTGTCTTTTTTTCACCAATAAGTTTTATGGCAACAAAATTTGTTTGTTTGTTTGTTTGTTTATTCATGACTGGGCCAGCAAAGAGTACAGCTGATGGATCCAAATGTTACAACAAAAGTGATCCCCAATTCAATTAATTATGATCACAGAAATTGATCAGGAATTTTGGTTATGTGTCATTTTCTGAACATTTATCATCACCTTGCATTTATTTCACAACAATTTGGTAGTTGGTAGGTGTTAACATGATAAACCCCCTCTTTATATGTTGTGATCTTCATTGGTACATTCATCACTTGAATCAATCCACCTTAATGTCTACTTCAACCCACTCTCTCTTGTTGCTTGAATGTGTGGTTCTCATAAAGTGATTAACACATCATCTGACCAGCTTTTGATTTTCTTTTTTGCAACAGATGGCACAGGTTCATGGTATTTCGTCGGAGAAGTGGGAATCCCTGTCATCCGCAGTGGATGAACTGGAAAACAATCTGTGTGGAGGATTTGACTGTAACATTTGCCTGGATCTTGTGCGGGACCCGGTGGTCACGTTCTGCGGCCATCTCTACTGCTGGCCGTGCATTTACAAATGGATTCATTCCCAGACCAGTTTTAACGAAGACGGGGATCTCCAACAGCCACAGTGCCCTGTTTGCAAGTCTGAAGTATCTGAGAAAACTTTGATTCCAATCTATGGCCGCGGCATAACCTCAAAACCACAGCTTGCAGAAGGCAAGGCTGCGAATCTTGGGATCATCATCCCACAAAGGCCTCCTCCAAGTCCAAGACATGATGGGGTCATCAGCGATTCACGCGATCTCCACCATCCAACTTACTCCCAACACGTGCCGACCACCTCCCCAGCTATGCTTAGCCTGAGCAGCAACTCCACAACCAATGTGCTGAGCCATCCGATGATTGGGATGATTGGGGAAATGGTGTATTCGGGCATGTTTAGGAACCCGGAAACGGATTTGTATGGATACCCAAACGCGTACCATTTATCTTCGGGTGGTGGTGGTGGGACCAGTCCGAGGGCGCGAAGGCAGATGCTGGAGGCTGATAGGTCACTGGGAAGGGTGTGCTTCTTCATTTGTTGCTGTGTGGTGATATGTCTTCTCTTGTTTTGATCACTCTCTTATTGTTATCTGTGAAAAGTTTAATTCCCCTTGACCCTTTTAGTGCAAATGATGGATACAAGGCATCCTTCTTTGGTTTATAGAGAGGTTGCAGAAGCTGTATACTCCCCAATATTAGAATGATGATGAAAATGGCTATGGTGTTTGTTCTCTTGTGCACCTTGGTTGCTTCTCTACTATCTCATATATTGTGAATTTGTAATTTCCAAATTGTAAGAGATCATGTTTACATTATACGTATGGTTCTAGGGTCAAGATTATAAGGGCATATTTAGGATATGTGAGTACTTCGCAGAAAACGCATGGGTTATCCACTCTCTTTTAAAAAATTAGTATCACACTCATGTGTTGCAGGATTCATATTTAAGTTATAAAGTTACATTGGTGTCATTATTGAAGAATAGAAATAAATTGCATAACGAAAATATAAAGCTATAAAGTGAATATTAAATGAATTAGAATTTTTGGAAAACTTCATTATAAACTCTAAACTCTAATATGTTTTCCATACGGGATCTAAGTAAAGAATTGAGAAAATGATGAACATCATCTTCAAAAGCCCCTTAATATCAACCCGAACTGTATATTAAAGGGAGATAAATTGAACTATATTTTCAAATCAATTGAAAAAAATTAGATCTGTTTTCTAATACGATCTTAAACACGTACAAAACGCTAGAATCACAAATAAACAGTTTATAAAGTTTACAAACTTGTTTTTTAACATTTTACTAGAAATAAGATGTATTCAAAAAATAAAAGATATTTTAATTTAAAATCCACCAAAGACAATTTTGTGAAGTTTGTAAACTATTTGTTTGTCACTCTAGCATTTTCGTGTATGAGTTTATTGCACCAATACCTCATGTGGTTTGTTAAATGTGCATTGTTATCTTCTATGGTTTCAAAACTTACATTGTTGCCTCCTGTGTTTTAATATTCCTACATCAATGCTCTTATAAACTAAAATACCCTTCAAATATTAAATGAATAGCTCCGCTGCCCCCTATGAATTTAGAAATGGGCGCCAACACCCTGTCTCCTTTTTCGTCTTTATTATTTTTCTTTTTTCTTCTATTTTTTCATCAATATTTTTGAAGATCTTTTTAAGAACTTTTTCATAAATGTTTTAAAGTTATTTTTAAAACTATTTTTATACTACGTAATGATTTAATAATAAAAAAATTTGTTTGAAATAAAAAATTAATTAAAATAAAAATAATTAATGTACACTTCATTTGTCTCAAATTAAATAATTTTATTTTGTCCAAAAGAGATTATTATTGGTTCATTTTCATTAATTTTATAAAGTTCCTTTTATTAAAATAAAAATAAAAGAAGAAATAATAGAAAAGAAATTGAAGAAGAAGAAAAGTATATGAAAAGAAATACTTTCGTATAATAGGAAAATTAAGTTATGAAAGAAAATTTGTTGCTCATCGATTCAAAAAATATATTATGAATATATAATTACATAAATATTAAAAAGACTTTACTTTGTTAAGAACTTTTTTTAGAAAAAATGAAAATATTTAATTTGAGACAAATGAAGTATATTTTAATTTTTTAACTTCAAACACCAACAACTTTTTTAAAACATTTTTAGAAACATAGTTTTGAATAACAATATTATCATTATTTCAAACATAATTATTTTTCTTCTCTTTAAAAAAAAGATAATTAAAAAAAGGGTGTTGGTGTACATTTTTCAAACCATAGAGGGCAACAGAACTATTCATTTAATATTTGAAGAATATTTCATCAAGTAGGACACTGGCATAGGAGTTTTAGAAACACATGGAATAACGACATAGGTTTTAAAACAACATGGAGTAATGATGCATATTTACCAAATCATAGAAGGTATTAGTGCAATAAACTCGGTACAATATGATCAGCCTACATCCCCTACCAAGGTGAATTGTCAAAAGTCTCATGACCGAAGTTTCTAAAAATGTGCAAATTTCTAGGTAATTATCTTTATCAAAAAAGGTGGACATCATCCCCCGGCGAAAAGTCACTTACTCACCTTAGAGAAACTAAATTCTTTTTAATCATGGTGATAAGAAATGGAACATGCACATGATACTTGCAAATCACTTATTTTTAACTTAATTATCTTCCAGTGCAGTTGTCAAGAGTCGAGTTTGGATATTACCTCTTGGACACATTTTGTCTCACCAACTGTGCAACAGCCACCAACTGGATAATTATCATATATCTGCAACATTACGCAAAATGAAAAAAAATTTTAAGTTTCTTTTTTAAAAATATTTTATTTGAAAATTGATATAGAAATAAAAATAAATTTACATATTTTAAAAATATAGTAGAACTTCAAAACAAAACAAATCAAAAAAGATATTTTATTTTATCTAATTATTCATAAAAATAAATAAACAAAAATTTACGTATTTGTAAATGGTATATTATGACATTCTATTTGAGAGAGAGAATATATTACTCCTTATTATTGGTTTGTTGAAGACTTAAAGCTGTCAAAACGACATCAAAAGCCTGCACATACTTAGAGTTGTCTTATTGTGATCATGCGTGTGAGTCCTTCTAACTCCATAGGTGACGGCTTCTGGTGGCTTTCATTCTTATCCAATATAAGCCGTGTTTGTAAAACAGCATTTTGGATAGTTTTTGGCCTGTTTGATTGACTTTGGTTTTTTTGGCTGAGCGAACCGCCAAAACCATTGTTTGACTAATGACTTTTTCACTTGGCATTTTGATCCAAAAAGTCAAAATCTGAAATGCCAAGGAGAGTAGCTTTTGGACTTGGATGTTAGAAAAATCAATTTTTTTTAAGTTATTTTTCTTGAAAAATATTTTATAATCTATGTAAAAACTAAAAATAAAAGTTAAAAAATTAAATACTGAAAAAAATAAATTTAAAAATTTAAAAATTTCAAAAAATTAAATGAGAAAATAAAAAGTAAAAATCATTAAAAAATTGTATATTAATATAATTTCTTATGAATTAAATGAAAGTAAAATTTAATACTCCATATACTAAAGATTTAATTTTTACATGTAAAAAAATGAAAAATAAATATCGTGTGTGTGTGTGTGTATATATATATATGAAAAAACTATTTTCAAACAGCTAATTTTACCAAACAATTTTAACGATCAGCCAATTCATCCTGCCGGTCAAACCAGCTGAACTAAACAATCATTCACAACAGCTGGCACGAACTGCCAACAGTCAACAGCTGACAGCCAACATCCAAACAAGGCCATAGGCTGCAAACAAATTAAATTTTACTCCGGACATTTCTTCTTTCTTTTGGTATATAATTGGCCTACGTTCTTGTTCCCCGGTCACTGGGTTTCAGTGGCCACGTAAGCTATTGTCCCTATTCATACACCTACGCCCTGTTAGTAAAATTGATTATTCCTACTCTTCCTAACCTTTCCGGCAAAACCCCTTTGCCCAGTCTCGACTCCAACTCATCCCCCATTGTAGCCCGCAATTTTAGTTTACTTTGTGGTCAAAATTTTAGACTTTAAAGTCAATTGTGCTTGTGGGGTGTAGTTGACATAGGTGGGGGGTTGAGTTGAGGTCGGGACTTGCAGAAAGCTTTACCGGGGTAAGGAGGGATAGAAATCATCAATTTTACGAACAGAACATCGTAGAAGGACAGTCGTTTCTGTGGCCACTGAACCCAGCCAATTGGTCTAATGTTAGATTATGTAACACTTTGTTTAAAAATTTCATTATTTTTTTCAAAGAAACGAGAAAAAAAATTATTAGACGGGAAGAGTATTTTGATCAATGGGATATGTGACGCACAATTACTTTATCTTCTCCATTATAATTTTAATCACCACTTTTTATTTAAAAATAAAATTCTAAATCTGTGAAATCAAGTGCAAAAATATATATTGGAGCAGAGTAATTTATTGTACCCCGCCATAGTTTAATGATACCGCTATGACTATCCAAAATCAGAGGTCTTGTGTTCAAATCTCAGTGCGGACAATAACTCTCGAGTTTCAATTGATGGAAAATGTACATACGGATGTGTTCTTGCAATAAAATTATTAGTGTTTCAAAAAGAAAATATCATACCCCAATTTTTCCTTTCCTTTTACTCTTTTCTTTACTTTCTCTCTCCAATTAAAATTTTCTTATTTTTCTTTTTCACCCATATAAAAAAAGGTTCTTTATTTTTAAAGTAAAAAATTGTGGCTAAGAATATTTCTCAATTCTCTTGCCCAATTTTAATCATACATTTTTTGAACATTTTTCGACTTCGTGAAAGTCGAAGCATTAGTAAAAAAAACTTTGTGAGGTGGAAGGTGCATTATTAATGATCATAATCCTTTAATATAAAATTTGAGAGTTGATGGCTTAGAATTTTGACACGTGGCAACTTAAGGCTCCTAATTTGATTACACATCAGCTTCTTACACGCGTCCACTTATACGTAAAAATCGCAGAAAGCCTCCAGACGATTCTTCTCCTCTCTAGCCGCGTCCCAGAGCCAAAACTTTGCGATAATCTACTGATTCTTCGTCTAAGGAAAGGAAATCTGCACCACGGGGTCATGCCGCTGATTATTCGCGTTAATTAGGAAATCTATGGCGTCAAGATCCACTTATTCATCGGTGTCAAATCGAAAATCAGGTTTGTTTCCAAGATTCGGATGTAATTCTTATTCAAATTTTGTATATACTTCTAAATCTAGGCTCTGGAATTCCCCAATTTTTTCCGGTAAAATCGTCAATTATGAGTACTGGCTTTATTTAGTGTGGGATTACATACCTAATTTAGAACCCTATTATGCGTAATTACATTGAAGAAATGGAAAGTTACTTTTTCTAAGAGTGATATTCTACATATATATACATTCTCCTCAAGAACAACCCACCACACCCCCTAAGCATATTTTTTCTTGAGATTCGTACTTCTTTTTTGGACCATACATGTCGAAGACCACCCATCCATTGTCTAAAATCACTCCAA